TTTTGGTGGAGTCTTTAGGGATTTCTATACATAGTATTATGTCATCTGCAAATACTGACAATTTTACTTCTTCCTTTCCAATTTGGATTCCTTTTATTTATTTTTCTCGCCTAATTGCCGTGGCTAGGACTTCCAATACTATGTTGAATAAAAGTGGCAAGAGTGGTCATCCTTGTCTTGTTCCTGATCTTAAAGGAAAAGCTTTTAACTTTTCACTGTTGAGTATGATGTTAGCTGTGGGTTTGCCATACATGGCCTTTATACTGTTGAGGTACATTCCTTCTATACCCACTTTGTTCAGAGTTTTTATCATAAATGGATGTTGAGTTTTGTCAAATGCTTTTTCTGCATCTACCGAGATGATCATATGATTTTTATTTTTCGGTTTGCTAATGTGGTGTATCACGTTGAATGAGTTGCAGATATTGAACCATCCTTGTGTCGCTAGAATAAATCCCACTTTATTGTGGTGTATGATCCTTTTAATGTATTGTTGAATTCGGTTTGCTAATATTTTGTTGAGGATTTTAGCATCTATGTTCATCAGGGATATTGGCCTGTAATTTTCTTTTTTTTTGGTGTCTTTATCTGTTCTTGGTATCAGGGTAATAATGCTGGCCTCTTAAAATGAGTTTGGGAGCATTCCTTCCTCTTCAATTTTTTGGAATAATTTGAGAAAGGTAGGCATTAACTCTTCTTTATATGTTTGGTAGAATTCACCTTTAAAGTCATCTGGTCCTGGACTGTTGTTTTTGGGGAGTTTTTAAATTACTGATTCAGTTTCATTACTTGTAATTGATCTATTCAGATTTTCTATTTATTAATGATTCGGTCTTGGAAGGTTGTGTGTTTCTAGGAATTTATCTGTTCTTCTAGATTTTCCAATTTGTTGGCCTGTAATTGTTCATAGTAGTCTCTTATGATTCATTGTATTTCTGTAGTGTGAGTTGTTAACTTATCTTTCATTTTCGATTTTATTTGAGCCCTCTCTTTTTTTCTTAATGAGTCTGGCTAAAGGTTTATCAATTTTATTTAAAAAAAAAAAAAACAGCTTTTAGTCTCGTTGATCTTTTCTGTTGTCTTTTTAGTTTCTATTTCATTTATTTCCACTCTGATCTTTATTATTTCTCTCCTACTACTAACTTTGGGCTTTGTTTGTTCTTCTTTTTCTAGCTCTTTTAGGTGTTAAATTAGATTGTTTATTTGAGATTTTTCTTGTTTCTTGAGGTAGGCCTGTATGACTGTGAACTTCCCTCTTAGACCTGCTTTTGCTGTGTCCCATAGATTTTGAAGAGTTGTATTTCCATTTTCATTTATATGAAGGAACTTTTTGATTTTTCTCTTTGATTTCTTCATTGACCCATTCGTTGGTTAATAGCATGTTGTTTAGTCTTTATGTGTTCGTGTCTTTTTTCAGAGTTCTTTTTGTAATTGATTTCTAGTTTCATACCATTGTGGTCAGAAAAGATACTTGGTATGATTTCAGTCTTCTTGAATTTATTAAGATTTGTTTTGTCGCCTAACATGTGATCTATCCTGGAGAATGTTCCATGTGTACTTGAAAAGAATGTGTATTCTGCAGTCTTTGGATGGAATGTTCTGTATATATCTGTTAAGTCCATCTGGTTTAATGTGTCATTTATGGCCAGCATTTCCTTATTGATTTTCTGTCTGGACGAGCTATCCATTTATCTAAGTGGGGTATTAAAGTCTCTTGTATTCTTGTCAATTTCTCCCTTCATGTCTGTTAATATTTGCTTTATATATTTAGGTGCTCCTAAATGGATTTCCTTCATGGATAGTCTAAGTGCCTTAAACCACTGTTTTTCACCATGCCTCAGGGTGGGTGCATCTGTGTGTAGGCCCCTCAAGGATATCCCTCCCTACTGCAGGTCTCTGTGTCAGGAGAGGAGTTCCTGTCGATACCGTGTCTCCATCTCTCCTGCTGGTCGCTGTGTGGTCCCTCTGTTGTTGATTTTGCAGAAGCTGTTTTTTTCAGCCCTCAGTTCTTCTTCAGGAGGAATTCCTCTATATGTAGGTGTAGATTCAGTGTGTCCATAGGAGGAGTTGATTTCAGGGTCTTCCTATGCCACTGTCTTGGATGCCTCCTCCAAACAAAAATCCCTTTTTAGAGTGATATAATAAATCTTGAAATTTGCTTTTTAAAATCAGACCTTCCCTTACCCTAGATTCTGTCTGTAAAATTTGTAGTATCTCTCCCACATCACCAGTTTTGTCTTCTTAAAATAACTAAAAATTTGTGCTGTTTCACTTATAAACTATCTTAAGTATCTTATCCTAAGCATATTCTTGAATAAAAGGGAAATAGAAATTTCTATTTATACTTAGTCTTTCCTCACATAGTGAGTGCCATATTAGTGTTATCCATGCCATAAAGATTTTCCTAAAATGTCTCCAGCTGTCATTGATTTTCCTCTTTTCTGGAAGCCCATAGCATTTATTGTCCCTTCCACACAATTTAGTTCTTAATTGCAGTCCTCTGTTGTTTATTAATCTTGGTTTTTACTTGCTTTTTTTTTAACTTAAAAAATATTACCTTAGCCCTGAACATATTACTAGGTGCATATATTGAAGTAAAACAATGGATATAATGATTATAATTTGGCAGTATATACTGGTATTTAAGAAATAGACATAACAAAGAGAACTGCAAAACATCACTAATTTAGATGAACAAGGTGAAAAGATCAGAGTAAATTATAAAGGATTTTTTCTTTTTTAAAGTAACTTTTTTCTAGTTATGAAAGTGATATATATTTATTGTAGAGAAATTGGAAAATACAGATGCATTTCCTTCATTCCAGTCTCTGCACACCTGCACACAAACATACTGTTTCAAAAGTGAGACCATAATATGTATACAATTTTCTGTCTTGCTGTTTTTCATTTATTATATCATCAAGATTTCCCATGTTATTAATATTCTTTTGAAACATAATTTTAAAAGTGAATGTACTATAATTTATTTATAGCAGTCCCCATTATTGCAACTTTGAGTTATTTCCTTTTTGATTTTTAACGTTTTTAGTTTTTTACGTAGTTCTTTGGGCTTAAAATTATTTTGAACATGATATAAATTGAGGACGCAATAAGGAAGGCATTTTCAAAATATATTTACAACCAAGTATATTTCTCAGTAATTTAGTTTGTAGGAAATGAAAGGAAAATGGTGTGGTCTTTAGTCAATTGTAAGATTTTAATGTGGATATTTCCTGGCTGCATTTAACACTATAATATTAATTTCATCTTTGCTTGTTTGAAAGAATTAATGTGTTCACTGGTCTGTCTAGCTGTTTGTATTGCCTTATTGAAAAAATGTAAAATGCCATCCCCACAAAAATGATGCATCTCACTTTTTCATTTTATTAAAAAACAGCTGTTGATATACATTCCTTTATTATTCTTTTCAATTAGCAGCATGGTGAAAATATTAAACAGAGGAATTTTTACTTTAAATAAAACTTAAAAACTTGTTTTAAACCAAGAGACATAATGGTATATTTTAATTTAATACTCTAAAAAGAGCTAAGAAAATATTGTGAAACCTTTCTTATGCTAATTGAATTTCAAAATGAGTATTTTCTTCCTTTATCCTCCTGCCTACTTATACTTATATTCTTTACCTCTTCACCTGAATTAAAATCTAGCTTTTTAAAATCCTCTTTATTCCTTGTTGCTCCATGGTGCAGATCTGGGATACAGAGATCTGGACCTTGCTGCTACCCCTTTCAAACTATCAGCATCATTTATGTTCCTCTGGGAATATGATTGTTATTCTCTCCTCTTCTCATCATTGGCCAACATCTTGGTCAGTGCTCCACATTCCTTCACTACTTTTAATACTCATTGTTTTCATCTTCACCTTATTCCTGTTGTTATTTTGGGCACTCTTTCAATATCTTTTTAAAATTCTTCAACTTCTCTACCTCAAATCTATGTCTATGTTAAATGAGTTCACTTTGAACTCTATAATCCCTTATAATAATTTTACTTAGGAAGTTTCAGACCCTGAAATCTCCCTCTCTAACTGTAACTTTGTATCTTTTGACTCTTCCCAACACGTAAATCCTTCTTTTTGAATCTTTGTTATTGCTGGTATCTTGGACCCTTTCCTCTTCCTAAAGCTTGTTAGCTATCTTCTCGATTCAGCTCTCTCCTTTCCTAGACTGGGTAGATCTCCTGGTAGACCATTTAAACTCTGCTTTCATTGGTATCCACAATTATATCACCCTCCTTCCTTTGATTATCTGTTTTATTTTCCCTGTCATTTCCTAGTACAGGAACAATACAATTCAAGTTTTTTTTTTTTCTATTTGAGCTTCCATCTCTCAAACAGTATAAGAAAAAATCAGATATAAATGTTTATTGTCTCTGTTGCAAATTGATTTCCAACATTGACTGGCACTTAGGACTCTTTTATTGGTAGTTCTTTTATTCTCCCTTGTTTGATTTCTTCTCTGGTGCCCATTCCAAACATCACAATCCTTTCTGGTTTCCTATCCTGAAGCTATCTCTTCACTCTCAGTGTTTGTCTTCACCCTCTTCTTCCAAAAGAAAATAGAGGCATTCCTTCTTAAAGCCATAAGATTGATTTGTGCCTATCAAATTGATAAAGATTTAGAAAAATTATAATGGCCAATGTTGGCAAGATATGATAAAATTGACACTTTTTCCACTGCTTATTAGAATATAAATTGGTAACCCCTTCAAGAGAGTTTCCGCTGTAGCATGTATCAAGGCCTTTTCAAATGTCTGTATTCTTTAAACAGCTAATTCTACTCTTAAGAAAGTATCCTTAATAGAGATGTACACAGATAGTTATGAATATCATTGAAATGACATGAATGTATTTTTTTTTAATTTTTTGTTTATTGCAGTAACATTGGTTTATAACATGGTAAAAATTTCAGGTGTACATCATTATACTTCTATTTCTGCATAGATTACATCATGTTCACCACCAAAATACTAATTACAACCCATCACCACACACATGTACCAAATTATCCCTTTCACCCTCTTCCCTCCCCCCTTCCCCTCTGGTAACCACCAATCCAATCTCTGTCCCTATGTGTTTGTTTATTGTTGTTATTATCTACCACTTAATGCAGGAAATCATACGGTATTTGACCTTCACCCTCTGACTTATTTCACTTTGCATTATACCCTCAATGTCCATCCATGTTGTCACAAATGGCTGGATTTCATCGTTTCTTATGGCTGAGTAGTATTCCATCGTGTATATATACCACATCTTCTTTATCCATTCGTCCCTTGATGGGCGCTTAGGTTGCTTCCAAGTCTTGGCTATTGTGAATAACGCTGCAATGAACACGGGGGTGCATGTATCTTTACAAATTGGTGTTTTCAAGTTCTTTGGATAAATACCCAGCAGTGGAATAGCTGGATCATATGGTAGTTCTATCCTTGATTTTTTGAGGAATCTCCATACAGTTTTCCATAGTGGCTGCACCAGTTTGCACTCCCACCAGCAGTGTATGAGAGTTCCCTTCTCTCCACATCCTCTCCAACACATGTTGTTTCCTGTCTTGTTTTATAGCCATTATAGACGGGCGTGAGGTGATATCTCATTGTAGTTTTGATTTGCATTTCCCTGATAGTGATTTTGAACATCTTTTCATGTGTCTGTTGGCCATCTGTATATCTTCTTTGGAGAAATGTCTGTTCAGGTCTTTTGCCCATTTTTTAATTGGGTTGGTAGTTTTTTTGTTGTTGAGATGCCTGGGTTCTTTATATATTTTGGAGATTAAGCCCTTATCAGATGTATGGTTTGCAAATATCTTCTCCCAACTGTTAGGTTGTTTTTTCGTTTTGTTGATGGTTTCCTTTGCTGTGCAGAAGCTTTTTAGTTTGATGTAGTCCCATTTGTTTATTTTTTCTATTGTTGCTCTTGCCCGGTCAGACATGGTGTTTGAAAAGATGTTGCTAAGACCGATATCGAAGAGCGTACTGCCTATGTTTTCTTCTAGAAGTTTCATAGTTTCAGGTCTTACATTCAAGTCTTTAATCCATTTGGAGTTAATTTTTGTGTATGGTGTAAGGTAAGGGGCTACTTTCATTTTTTTGCACGTGGCTATCCAGTTTTCCCAACACCATTTGTTGAAGAGACTTTCTTTTCCCCATTGTATGTTCTTGGCTCCTTTGTCAAAGATTAGCTGTCCATAGATGGTTGGGTTTATTTCTGGGCTTTCGATTCTATTCCATTGATCTGTGTGTCTGTTTTTGTGCCAGTACCATGCTGTTTTGGTTACTATAGCTTTGTAGTATATTTTGAAATCAGGGAGTGTGATACCTCCAGCTTTGTTCTTTTTTCTCAGGATTCCTTTAGCTATTCGGGGTCTTTTGTTGTTCCATGACATGAATGTATTTTTAAGACTTTTCTATACATTATATGTTTATGTTTCCAATTTTAAAAATTCATGAGACAATATGCAGTGATTAAAAAATCATATTTTAAAGGAATATCTAATGGCACAGGAAAATAAATTTTATTGACACATTGTTAAGTAGGAAGAAAGAATATGAAACTCTATTTTGTTTTTTTAAACCCACTTTTGTTTTTTTAAGTTATGTTTTGGAATAATTTCTCACAACAGCAATATGAGATAGGTATTTTATTATCCTCCATTTTAAGAAGGAGAAAACTGGTATTAGAGAGGGAGGTGACTTGCCCAAGGTCCCAAAGAGAGTGAGTAGTGGACCAAGATTCTACCTCTAATGTGTCTGACTCCAGAGTCCCGGGTCTTATCCACCTTGCTTGTGGCTCATGTAAGTGGAGATTTAACTTTGAGTTTACATATGGTCTAGGTTTTTTTTTTTTTTTTTAATTGACGTCAAGTATATAATTGAAAATATAGTCACTTAGAATCTTATAGCTCAAGGACTACATTGTTTTATTTTTTAATAATGCAGTAATATCTAAAATATACTAGTGTGATTAATTCCAAAAGCTTATATTTAATTTTAAATGTTATATATCAATTTGTCAGTTCTATTAAATAATGAATCTTAAATAAAAAGAGAATATATTTCTTTGAAGACTGACCTTTTAAAAAAATGTAGGAACATCCCCGTAGGCCAAAAATTTCTTACTTCCTTCAGCAAATAAATCAGACGTTGTATTAGTCTGCTCAGACTACAGACAAAATACCATAGACTAGGTAGCTTAAACAACAGACATTTATTTCTCATAGCTCTGGAGGCTGCAAAGTTGGAGATTAAGGTTCCAGCAGGGTTTGGTTTCTGGTGAGGACTGTCTTCTTGACTTGCATTTGGCCATCTTCACACTGTATCCTCATGTGGCAGAGAGCTCTGGTGTCTCTTCCTCTTTTTATAAAGGCACCAGGCCTATTGGATTAAGGCCTCACCCTTATGACCTTGTTTAACCTTTATCACCTCTTCACAGGCCCTGTCTCCAAATACCCTCACATTGGCGGTTAGGGCTTTATCATATGAATTTTGTGGGGACATAGACATTCAGTCCATTACAGACCCTTATTCCATCCAACTCACTGACAGTGATATCAAAAGGTATATTGTGAAGAAGCAAAGTTCTTCCTGGAAGTTACAGATGGAAATTCAGGAATTCCCTGGCATGTCCCTTGGTGTATCTTAATAATTAATGTTCATGATTTGTTTAAATGCTTTTTAGAAATTATATTATTTATAAATTGTTTTATTGTGTTATTTAGAAATTTAGAAATTCTATTTTTAGAAAGTTTATATTTCAGCCTATAATTCCTTTTTAAGAAATTAAATATATAGTTTTACTACCCACCTATTGAAATATTATTTCCTTTTCTTATTCTGAAAGTTGCCTAGGCCCCGTGGCTTAGCAGTTAAGTGCGTGTGCTCCGCTACTGGCAGCCCGTGTTCCGATCCCAGGCGTGTACCAATGCACCGCTTCTCTGGCCATGCTGAGGCCGCGTCCCACATACAGCAACTAGAAGGATGTGCAACTATGACATACAACTATCTACTGGAGCTTTGGGGAAAAAAGGAGGAGGATTGGCAATAGATGTTAGCTCAGAGCTGGTCTTCCTCAACAAAAAGAGGAGGATTAGCATGGATGTTAGCTCAGGGCTGATCTTCCTCACACACACACAAAAAAAATGAAAGTTGCCTAATGTAAGCTTAGAGCTATGTCTGCTAATTCTAGCTACTGGAGTTGCCTGTATAATTGGAATTTATTAGTAATTTGTCTAGAAAACTTGAGAGTTCTATCCTAATGTGATATGTTGTTTAGGGTAATTTTGGGAGTGTGGAGATGTGCCGTTATGACCCTCTACAAGACAACACGGGGGAGGTGGTGGCTGTGAAAAAGCTCCAGCATAGTACTGAAGAACACCTCAGAGACTTTGAAAGAGAAATCGAAATCCTTAAATCCCTGCAGCATGACAACATTGTAAAGTACAAGGGAGTGTGCTACAGTGCTGGTATGTTGCCCTTGAAACCTATTTTTGAACTCAAGGTATGTCTTTGGCATCCTGGGTGATAGAAACATATAATGTCTGAAGATCTGGACTTATAGTATGCAAGTGCCCGGGGAAGCATTTTATGTGGCTGAAGATTGTACTTGGCGATGGTGGGCTATAACTACAGGAAGTCTTTGGCTAATTGGTTAATCATCCTCTTCACTGAGAATGGTGCTTACCATTCTTGCTTAAACTTGCCAAGAGAATATCATTTTTAAAGAAAGAAATAGTCTTTGCTCACATTTTCCATGAAAATACTGTTTTTTAAATTAGATGCTTTGTTCAGTGTAGAGGAGGAGAAAGGAAGTTTTCTCATCAGCTTATTTTGGTTTGTATAAAGGGTACAGAAGACTAAAATGTAACTATTTTTAAAGCTTCTTTTCAAAACTTTTTGATTCAAAAAGCCTGTTGTTCTTAATTACTACATCACCTTTAATTTATAATCAAGTTTTGTCATCTTAGACTCAGATTTTATATAAGTCATTCATCTATGGTTGTTTTCTAATATTTCATCAGTAAAATATGGCAAAGTAAAACATTATGTTCCCATTTGTGTATTAAAAGGTCGGCATAATCTAAGATTAATTATGGAATATTTACCATATGGAAGTTTACGAGACTATCTCCAAAAACATAAAGAACGGATAGATCATAAAAAACTTCTGCAGTACACATCTCAGATATGCAAGGTACCTAATATTCTGGCTGTTTGTTGTAGATGAAGAGAGCATGTTGAAGTAATTGTTAAGAAATCCTCTAGAGTTTTTCTTAGATAATTAAGGGAGTATACAAAGATAAGACCATTTAAATTGTTTATGTTTATGAAACTAGCTAAGAAAAATGTTATTTTATCCATAGGGTATGGAGTATCTTGGTACAAAAAGGTATATCCACAGGGATCTGGCAACAAGGAATATATTGGTGGAGAATGAAAACAGAGTTAAAATTGGAGATTTTGGGTTAACCAAAGTCTTGCCACAAGACAAAGAATACTACAAAGTGAAAGAACCTGGTGAAAGTCCCATATTCTGGTGAGTATATTTTAGTACAATAAAGTGAAATTTTAGAGCACAAACTTCAAACTTTATTTTTACTATTAATAGTTTGTCATTTATATTTTTATAATAATAGTGAAAATTTATAATATGGTTACATTGGGCTAAATTCATTTTATGGATTATTTCATTTAATCCTTACAATAACCCTTGGAGAATATGTATTATGATCTCCATCTTAAGCGTGAGAGAACTGAAGCGAAGACAGGTTACATAGCTTGCTCAATGTCCCATGATCAATAAATGGCAGAACTAGGATTCAAACACAGAGTTTTGCTTTTAAGCTTTCTTAACCATGATGGTGCTTTAATCTGGCATTAGTTAAATATTTTATATATTGCAGCAATTTGAAGCTAAAGGTAATTTTTCATCTTCAATTAAAATTGTGAGTTGCGAAGAGCATGCAAACCTGTCTTGTATATGGTATACATTGTTGTTTTCATTGATTTGTGCTTTGATGCAAGGTTTTCTTTTTCATGGCTTAGTTCATTTACATTTTGTTTTATAGGGATGAATTGGTGAAATTATATTTAAATGTTTTGGTTTGGGATACACTCCAAATTGACTTTAATTCTGGTTTATTCATCTGCTGAAATAATACTGTTAAGATTATGTTGTTTGAATCAAATTTTAGTGTTAAGGGATGGGTTTTATTTATTTGTTTTAGGTAAGTACATTTTATTTACATCTTGGGTATCTGACTTGAAAATTAGAATTACTAATATAAACAATGTAACTGTCAACTTATAAATATTTTTCTGGGATTAATCAGAATTATTAGAAATATATAGATTATTTAGTTAGCTACTGCTAAGTTCATGGATCATCTGAATGTGTTAGTTAGTTATCTTCATTTTATTTTGTGTCTGTAAATTTTACAATGAATCCCAGCTATTCAAATTGTTAGTCTGGAAGGAAATTAGGCAAGAAAGCTCCAATGATTTAGAACAAATGGATTATTTCCACAGAAGAGTAATTTGTAATGGTATTGTGAACATGTTTTAAAGAAGAATCCTTATCTTTCAGAGATGCACACTGAAATAATGATGGCTGAAATACTGTCTTGTCTGGAATTTACTTCATATAAAGCCAGTGGAGTGGAGGTGGGGAGTAGTAGATAAAATAAGGAGGGCAATGAATTTAGCTAAGTGGCAGGTACATAGTTGTTCATTGTTCTGTAATTTGTGTATGTTTGAAATTTTTCATAATAATAAAAACACTTTATAAGGAATATCCTGATGATAATTGTTAGCATTGCCATCATTTAATTATTTTTAGGATATAAATGAAACTACAAAATAAGATGCATCTAAACTTGACTATCTATTTGGTCATCTCCCCAGTGATACATGAATTTCATTCTTTTTTTCTAGAATGAGAAATTAAAGAAGTTAAATGGAATTAACTAGCAATCCGTAAAGATTAGTTATATGAATTTCCAGTGATTTGGACATACTTAATGAATACAATTTAATAAATTTCTATTAAGCACCCACAATGTTCCAAACACCATACAAGATTGGGCTAAGAAGATAGGATCAACATCAGAAAAAAAAACTGTCCCTTACTAGGAAGGCTGAACTAGAAGGAAAAGTTTGATATGGCAGGCCAATTCAACTGACAGGTCCACTACCCATAATCCCTTCCCTTTAAGAGCTCATAGTTTAGGAAAAATTAAATGTGTAATCAAATCATTGCAGTGCATTGTGTAAGTGCAATAATGAAGAAGAAGAAGAGAAAATATAAGTGCAAATAATTCTGCTGAGGGTTTAAATTAATCAGAGAAAACCACAAGAGATGACATTTCAACTATTGATTAATAGTTTATCAAATAGACAAGAAGAAGGGCATTCCATGAGGAGGATGACAAGAACAAGAGGATCAGGGGCTTGCAAGTGAATGGCATAATCACAGAACACATAGGGAGTAATTGCAACTGGAATGGTTTGAGCCCTGTATGCTATGTTAATGAGTTCGGACCTTATTCAGTACACAGTGTGTAGGTGGGCAATTGTAGAGGCTTTATCCAAGGGAATAACATGGTGAGAGTCATATTTTAGAAAGATAGCTCTACTCTTGGTGGAGAACAGCGGTTCTCAAAATGTAAGGACCTCCGGTACCTGCTTTAAGGATTCCATGAGGTTAAAAGTACTTTCATAATAATACTAGTATGTTATTTGCGTTTTTCACTCTCATTTTTACATGAGAATGTAGTGGAATTTTCCAGAGGCTATAAGATCTGTCTTCTATTAAACCAGACATTAAAGAAACTTGGAAAAATGTAAAACAATGCTACTCTTCTTATAAAATTTTTGTTGTTTTGGAAAGTTGTTTTCATAAAAATGTGATTTATGTTAACGTGTACTGGATTTATTGTTATTTTTAATGAATTAAATACTTTTATATTTCCTTAGTTTTAATATCTAATATGGTAAATATTGGTGGATATAAGCCACATAAACAAAAGCTTTTTGGAAACTTCAGTAATTTTTAAGAGTGTGTGGGGGCGTGAGACCAAAAGGTTTGAGAACTGCTGGTATAGAGGGTACATCATAGTAAGGAGAGGCTAACAGCAGAGAGAAGGCTAGTTAGGCAACTTTTGCAGGAATGTAGGCCATTGGTTTTCAAACCTTTTGTGTATATATACCTACTGGAAGAATTATGAAAAACTGTATCCTTGCACATTTTTAAATTGATAGCTAAATTTTTTCTTATAAATTTAAATAGTTGTAAATAATATATTTTCTAAAGTATTTTAAATATTGACATTAAATAACAGTTAATATCAATTTTTTAGATGTATCCAATGATATCTAATACCACAGCAATTTGATAGCCGTTGTTGCCCACTTTAAAATGTATAGGAGAAGACATTTTATTTTTGATAGAAACTTTACATCATTCCTTTTTGTCCTTAAAATTATATTTCCACTTCCCTTCTCACCCAGAATTTTACATAATGTGTTATATTTTGTACTTGGAAAATCTTTTGATCATCTATCTCCTTTGTAACCAAAATATGTATATAAATTGAAATTAATGTTTAAATTTCCTGTGATCACGAAACTCATAAGTATTCACATTTCTCTTCTGGATTGAGTTATCATTGAAGTTATTATCTGCATAAAATTTTCCAAAGCAATATAAACAACATACAACACAAATTTGGATAATTGTTTAAAAAATTTTGTTGGAGACTTTTCTTAATAAAATAAATGGGACTTTTTCCCTCCTCCAATTAGTTCCTGTATCGTTGGATGAATGTTATTTATTTCTGTAATGGGACCAGATTCAGCATGAAATCTATGTTTACTTTGCATTTTATAGATGTAAACACTGAGAAAACCTGTTTGTGTAAATAAGTAGATAGGAATGGAAGGAGTATTGTTATAACAATATCATTCATTTCTATGACTCCTTCTGAGATATGTAGCAAAAAAATATACAGTGATCTACCACTAAAATTTATCTGGCAATTTCATTAGATCCATTCTTTTTTCAATTTTATTGCAAGCAAAGAATTAAACCCACTTGATTTTCAAAACTGGATTTGCTACACAATCATTAGAGTTATTCTCAATTTCTGGGAATATACCAAAAAACGTTTTCAAATTAATTCAAATCATGGTGTTACTCTCATTTAGTGGCATCTTTATTAAACTGATACATTCAGAAGAGGTTATAAAAACAGAATATTGTTAATTTCAATACAATATTTTTTAATAACATCTTTTCCAATATTTTAAATACATGATTTAAATATGGCAAACATTTGTGCTGCCTCAAAGGTTGAGTCAGTTTATGAAGAATGTCCTTCATACAACCCATTTAGCAATGCCAGGCCTCAAAAACAAATCATACTTAATTTCTGACAGAAAAAGTCTGACTTCATTTTTTAATTCAAGTATATTAATATTATGAAATAGTATTTTTAAAACACAGAAATAAGTTGCAGAACACATGTACAGAGGCATGTTTATAATGAAGCTAACAGAGCATATCCACCAGAGTGCCTTCCTTCCAAGATTCCTTCTTTTCTAATTTTAAATATTCACTTTTATGTGTAATTTTATATTCTTTGTCATAAAGAAAGCCTCCAAATTGTATAAGTTTTGGACCCTGTATTTCTCCCTAAATATTTGAAAAGATAAATCACAAGAGCAGTCAAGATAAGCTTAAAATGATATATATCTAGTATAATAAATTTCATATTAAGTTATGAAAATAAGATAAATCATTTCTCATTACTTAATTTATAGTAAATAATACAGAATAAAATGTAGCTAAGATTATAACTTATAAAGTAAGGTATATGGTAAAATGCCTAGTATTCCTTCAGTAAATGTTTTGGGGGGAGGTATATATCAAACTGTGATGTTTGACTTTGGGGAATCATTAAATAAGAAACTTGTATAAAAATCAGAAATAACATCATTTTCATCATGATCAAATTTTTCCTATGTATTTTTGAAAAAGAAAGCTGTATACTGCTAAAAACTAATCAGATAGCTAGTTGGCATATAGTTTTATTTCTATATTAGCAGCAAAAAATATTAAATGTTGTATTCAATGAAATGAAGTTGACTAAATTTTATATAAATATTTCAGAATATGAGCTGATAAAATAGGTTTTAGCTAACATTGAATAATGAACACTAACTCTGAAGTCTGAAAGAAATCACATATAATTTTTATCCATAGGATTTAGCCATCATATCTTAAAAAATTACAGTATCATTTAAAAGAGTCTTTGTCATCTATATTGCTTTTGTTGTTCAAAAGTGCTCTTTGTTTTAAGCTAATAGCATGTTCCAGCATGTCCTAGGGGTTAGTATTAAGAAGAACTGAGGGAAAAATGCTTCTGCTAAAATATTTTTTTAAATCATTGAAGCAGAGTTTTGGACTCCTGGAGGATCCCTATGCTGTTTTTGCTGTAGAGTACCCCTTGGAAGATCTTAGTATATCGCTGGGGTGACTCCACCTGGTTTGAAGACCTCTCTGTACTAGTCATGAGATAAGGATCTGACCTAAGACTGTAACAGTAGTTTTGGTTTAGGAGACTGATTTGAGACTTTTCTAAGATATACTCTAAAGGGACGAGGTGGCTCATTGGACATTGGAGTGAAATATGAGTCAAAAATAATTCTTAAGATTCTATCTTGAGGAGTTGGATAGATTGTGATGCCATTCATTGCGTAGGGAAAGTAAAATAATCAGCAGGTTTTGGAAAAGTGGGGATGGAGTTCTCTTTGCATATAGAACTTTAATACAGAAATGTTCAGTGAGTCTGAAGCACAAAAGAAGGGTCAAAGAAATGGTTATAAATTTAGGAGACTTTAGTATATAGATGGATGATACTATCTAAGGGAAGATTTTTGCAGGAAGAGATCTGATGATGGAATTTTGGGGAAACTCAAATTTAGAGAATGGAAAAAAGACAGGAAAGTGTTGGGGAAATATAACTAAAAACAAACTCTCCTCCAAACCCAGAAAACCTCTCCATAAAGATAGAAGAGAAAGAAAACAGCATTAATCCAGAAAGTAATGTGTGTCACAAGCAATCTGCTAAGAGATTGCAAAGACAGAAAGAAATCTCATCCTTTCATGTTGCCAAGCAGATTCAATCTATTATATACACGTTCTCAAGATGAACAATAACTAGGCTTCAAGCAAGAGGACTTGACAACACCATTTGTCACCCACAGTTCATCCTAAATTCACTTGGTAATTGGAGTGACCATCTGTAGTAGCTAATTGGTTTTATCCAAAGGAAGAGTAAACTTCTCCTATCTTTATGACAGGAGGTAGTTTTGCAACTTGGAAGGAGGCACCTGCCAGAGTTAGGCTTCTATCCTCCCACAGAAACTGGGAGGTAGGGCTCCATTTTCCTTGATGATTACATTCCAAAGAGATGGTTCCTAGGTCCTTGAGAACGACATTCCTGGATCATAAAGCTGGCAAGAGGCTTTTAAGCAAAAGCTTTTAAAAAGATTTACATAGGGGGCCTGCCCCAGGGCCTAGTGGTTAAGTTCAGCACGCTCCACCTCAGCAGCCCAGGTTCAGTTCCCAGGTGCAGACCCACACCACTCATCGGTAGCCATGCTGTGGCGGCAACCCATGTACAAAATAGAGGAAGGTTGGCACAGATGTTAGCTCAGGCCTAATCTTCCTCAGCAAAAAAAAAAAACAAAAAAAAAACATATTTCAAAGAGAAAGAATTTACAAGTACAAGTTTTCTAAGTAAATGCTCTAAGAAAAGAGGAAGTCCCTCATTTTCAACAGGGAGAATTATTTTTTTTTCTTTTCTGATTTGTATTTATCCTTACATAAATGATCGGAGAGAGAAAAACAGCCTTGGAGATGAGGAGAGAAATTACCAAGAGTGCTTTCATGAAAACCAAAGGAAGAGAATATTTTGAACGGGTTGGGGGAGTAACACTGTCTTCAAGGAAATTATATTTCATTTGTGGGATAAAACATACATTTAAAAATAACTAAATATGTAAAAATTTCTTAACTAAATATAGAAAGACTATACCTTTACATGGTTAATTGCATAGTACAGACTATAAGTACTATAGAAATTCAGTAGCATAAGGTCATTAAGACCTTGAGTAGTCAGAGGAGGATTTGTGGAAATGAGAAAACTTAAACTTTGAAGGAAAGATTAAATTTACGTAATTCATACTTTTGATCTCATCAGGCCAGAACATACCTCTGTCACCATCCTCTGTAATGAGGATAAATCCATTAGCAGTGGAATCATGATATTCACAGTCCATTGGCCAAAATTCTCCCTTGGATAGTGTTGATGCTTGAGTAAACAATGACACCATTTCCCCCTGTGACTTTCTATTTTCTGTGCTCCCTCTCATCATTACCCCCTTTCTGATTAACAGGTTCTTTCTTTTATATGTTAATAGCTTCAAGTCATGCTTCAGCTTAGAAGCCATTTTTTCTCTAGGATACTTATCAGGGTTCAATTAGAGCTTAACTTGCAAAGAGCAGCTTATTTTTCAGTTCTTAGAAGATACTTTGCAGTTAACGCTGGTGTTACCTATAGAGACAAAAAAATTTTTTTTTGGATTTTAGTTATCTTTGTGTGTCAGAGGTTCCCAAGACCGCCCTCAGGTTTGATGATTCACTAGGAGGACTCATAATGTTACCAGACACATACACAGGTTCTTTACTCGCCCCACAAGAAGGGCCGAATAAAACTGGAACGCCAGGCTTATCACAAGGAAAGGTTTTTATTTCTGGTGACGTCAGCTGGGAGACAAGAGTGAGCCCTTAAATTCATCTCGTCTCCCTGAAAGATGGGAGGCAAGGGGTTTTAAAGGTTGCAAGGAATGCAGCTGCTTGTTGGGAGGGGGCGCCTGTGGCCTTGCTGGTCGGCGCTTTCCCACCAGCCTGCGTTTGGCCTTGTGAGGCTGCTTGCAGGGAGGAGGATAGCAAGATAAGGAAATCTGCAGATGAGTGTCCTTGGTTGTCTGCCTCCCTGGTGGAGGGTGGATTCTGGTGCCAGGAAGCCAAGGAGTTGGGGTCTGGGAAGCTTCAGCTTCTTGATGTTCTCTGGATATCAGTTTCCCTGTAACAAACCTCAAAGGACCCATAACTAGCCAAAATGTTAGCATGAGGCCACCTGGGCTCTAACAATTTGTAACTTTTTCAAAAACTGATATTTACATATGAATGTAACTAAGGGAAGCAGGGAAAGGGGATGAGTGCTTTTGGTTTTAACCCCATATATGCTGGGTTTAATGTAAGGGAACTGATATCAGGGCCAGTATCAGTAGGACTCAGCAAACAGTCATACTGTTACTGAACCAAAGTGGGGTCGCTTCCTGGCGAATTAAAATCAGACTCTCCACCAGAAGTAGTTGTCACACAAAGTAGAGCCTATTTACATCAAATAGGAATCCACTGGGAATCATTTCCAAAGTTGTGGCTCTCCTGGAGCACAGGACAGCAGGGGCCTTTTATTTTGCATGGGGAATGAATATTCAAAAGGGAGAGGTGGGTATTCACTTGCGCAGGCTCAGTTCACTTATCTGCGCAGGTGCTGCTCTTGCGGTGGGGCTTGGTCTGGTTCAGGGTGGTTGGTGTCGGGGCAATTAGTTGATGACTATGATTCATTACAGGGAAAAGATACAAAGCAAAATCAGCAAAGGGAAAAGGCATCTGAGGCAAAGCTGGAGGAAACCAAGCACAAACTTCCAAGGGTCTTCTCCCAGTAAAATCATGTGGGACATGCTTAATTCCCCCAGCAGTAAATTGTGACAACACATGTGAAATGTCATCTACTAAGGAAGCTCATTAGAGACTCAGTGCCTAAGGTTTTTATTGGAACTGGTCACGTAGGCACACTCTGCCTGGCACATACCAAAGTTCCAGAGTCTCAGAAGGAAAGCAGGTGTTCAGCATAAACCATTTTGTTTGCAGAAGCAGTTTAGGCACAGTGAACCACTCAACATTTAAGGAATTGTGGAAACTGTCCTCAAATCTAAGTTCCCAGGCACCAGTCAAGTGTCAACATTGCAAGCAGGCCTTTTTGAGGATGGCAGCTTCAGGCCTGCTATGTCAACTCTTTTCTGTACACCTTTTAATCCAATGATTTTTTTTTTTAATCCAATGATTTGCAGGTAGAATCAAGAGTTGGCACATCAAGTAACTGTCTTTTAAATGCTTCCCATATATTACAGGTATGCTCCAGAATCACTGACAGAGAGCAAGTTTTCTGTGGCCTCAGATGTTTGGAGCTTTGGAGTGGTTCTGTATGAACTTTTCACGTATATTGAGAAGAGTAAAAGTCCACCAGCGGTCAGTGTACTTTTTATTTACTTTCAGCTTTTTTAACATGAGAAAATATTTTTCCAAAGAATAATAGTAAGTTTAGGGCTCATTTTAGAGTCTCTCATTTCTTATTTGTAAGACAATATCCACCAAAATAACCCTAAACTTATTAATTAAATTAACTTGAATTTTTAAAAAGAGGGTGTTGAATACTCTTTAGTATATTGTCTTAATATTATTTTTAGTAAATTCAATAAGCTCATTCATTCTAGGAATTATTGGAAAAGTTAAAATAAAGCTTTTAAAGTAATTTTTTTCCTGTACATTGTAGTTTTTTTTAATATAGGAAAATATGAAAAAAAATAAAAAGCATCTCTAATTCAACTACTCAGAGATAACTACTTTAATATTGTGATATGTTTTCTTCCAGGCTTCTTTTAATTTTATGTATAAAAGTGAAATTTTATTAAAAATAGTTTTTATAAAATAAAGATCATACTGTACAGTTTGTATTAAAGTATGGATAGTTTCCTATATTAGTAAATATTTACTGCAAATATGACTTCTAAATTCTGGGTAGCATTTCATCATAAAGATAAAATTTCTGGACAATCATTTTCCATTTTTCAATCTTTTAAGGAACGCTTCAATGAACATAGTGAACATTCTTTTACATAAATATTTATGTTTATTTCTGGTTGTCACCTTAGAATAAAAGTATAATTATAAATGAAAAGTTATGAACTCTTTTAAAGATTTTAGATTATTTCAAAATGCATTCCAGAAAAGCTCTATCAAATTACTCTCAATAGCAGTGCATTGTACATTTCATCATTTGCCAGTATTGACCGTTATATTTTTATTCACTTTTGCCAAATTCATAGAAGTTGTATCTATTTGATTTTAATTTGCATTTCTCCTATTAATGTGACTGAGTACATATTTATTGAGTGTTTACTGTGAGTATCCGTGTGTGTACAATGTCTCCTCATGTGCTTTTCCCATTTTTATATTGGTAATTTTTCTTACCAGTTTATGAGAGCTCTCTATATTTAAATAAATGATGTGTTGATTGTAAATGTTTCTCTAGCTTATAGTTCAGACTTTAATTTTATGAATTTTTAACATGTGAACATTTCCTCCATTGCATTTATGCTTAAATATTCATTCTGCATTTTCTTTTTATTATGTCCTCTTTCACATTCAACTTTTTATTTCAGCTGAAATGTAATATGATGTGTTAAAATCACAACAACCAAAAAACCAAAGTAAATATGTTTTTTTGGGCCCTTGTTTTGGGCACTTCTCAGGGAATTTGTGTTGAGTATATTACAGTTATGTAATATTACATTTCCATAAATGGCATTATAGAGGTTCCATATTTAACAGTCTTTTCTGAAATATGACTGAAAAGGAAGTTATCGATTCTTAAAATAGTCTGTTTTTAAAAGGTTTCAAACATATAAGAAAACATACATATACAGAATTTTTCCCATTTACTGGAAGAAGTTGAGAAAGAATTCTGCTTCAAATTAAATATATCAAAAAAATCTCATTGAAACGTGGGTTTGTTTTTCAGGAATTTATGCGTATGATTGGCAATGACAAACAAGGACAGATGATTGTGTTTCATTTGATAGAACTCCTGAAGAATAATGGAAGATTACCAAGACCAGATGGATGCCCAGATGAGGTAACAAAAAACTTTTTTATCCACAGTAATCATGCATTTTCTTTCTCTTTTTACCCAAGGATTTTAGGTCACTTTATGAAATTTAATTTGCTGAGCTTTTAGATAAATAGCATAATCATATGACTGTGGATCTAAGCATAGCCGTGACACATGCTTGTATAGGAAAATTAAGTTGAAGTTCTGAATTCATGTCTTCCACCAATTAAAAGATGGCACTTTGTGTTCATTGTAATTTTGTTTTATTTTCTCTTTTACAGATTTATGTGATCATGACACAATGCTGGAACAATAATGTAAATCAACGACCGTCTTTCAGAGACCTAGCTCTTCGAGTTGATCAAATAAGGGACAACATGGCTGGATGAAAGAAATGAACTTCCCTCTGAGACCAAAATAGACGTAGAGAACAAAGTTTTGTATTTCACATTGCCCTGGACTATTATTACATGTATCATTTTATGTATATCATGATGCTAGCCAGCAAAGATGTGGAAATATCTGCTCAAAACTTTGAAAGTTTATTGAGTTTTTCTTCATGAGGACACTAGTTAAAAAGACATTGATGAAAGTCCTTAGCAAAGAATTTTGTAAAAAGTTTGATGAACCTAATCAGTCAGTTAAATCACCTTTCTTTGGAAAAGAAAAAAAATAGACTTTTTTCAACTCAGAATTTTGAGAGATGAAAAAATTGTAATGTACATTTTGCAAAGTTAAAGATGCACAGAATACATATGTACAGTTTTTACCACAGTGAATGTATAATACCCTGGCATCTTGTGTGATGTTTTACACAAGGGCTAGTATTCATTAATGATGTTTTCTAATTTTTCCATAGTCGATCTACAATAACTTCACTATACAAACAAATTAAGATGCTCAGATAATTGAATAAGCACGTTTTTGTCCTTGTTCATCTGTATCACTGGCCAGCAATATAAGCAGGTGTACACTTTTAGCTTGTTGTTCTATGTACTGTAAATGTTTTTCAAAGCAAAGGGAACAAATGTTTAGTTTTATTTGTATAGGAAATTTCCCTGACCCTAAAGAATTTACATTTTGAAATGGAACAAGTTTACAAAGATATAACACAGTCTATTTTCTTATTTGTCTCCCTTGTATCTTTTTGTGGTGAGTATGTTTGTTAAATAGAACTATCTCCAGATTTTTCTAAGACTACAGTGAATAGTTTTCTTTTAAATTTTTGCGATTACAAATGCCATGAATATTGTCATCCCTTGAGCCATTGGCTGCCAGTAAGATTCTTCAATTCCTGGGACCTATGATCATGCATTAAATTTAAGTCTAAGCCATAAAACAGATCGGTTTTTAAATGTATGAGCTTATAGAGATGTATAGTGGGTTAGGAACTTTTTTTCTAAAGACTATATATTTTAGGTTTTCAGGAATCTGTGTTGCAGTCATAGAAGAGATTTCCTTTTGTTAGAGATTCTTACATACAAGGGAGAAATGAGAGTAAATTGGTGAAAAGGTATGCTTGTTAATTTTATTCAAGAATGCCAGTAGAAAATTCATAATGTATGCCTTTAAGAAAAACGAGAGTATACCTATTTTCAATTAAGTATAAAGGGTTATTTGTTGTTGTCTTTGTCTGTTGTAGTGCTACTCCATTTTAGACACCATACCTAAAATAGGATGGATTTTTTTGTGTATGTTATTTATGTAAAGTTTAAAATACTTGGTATTTTGGTTAAAAAGAAAATCGTTTCTTACTTTATTTTCAGTGGTAAATGCTATTTTTTTAAACTTGCACTTAAGACTTTTGATTATTTTTCTATTTTTTGGAGCTGGTTTTAAAATGCAAATGATGTAAGAAAAAAATGCGTCACATGAAGTTTGAGATTTTTTGGTTGGAAGGAAGAAAAGAGAAGAAATGCTTTTTACAGTCTTTAAAGAATTCTAAGGAGTTACCAAATGCAAAAATCATCTAAAATGATGGTATATTAGATTTTAAAAGATTTCTAGTAGATATTTTCATGAAAGTTGAATATAATTTTTATTTAATTTGTAAAGACTCCTCAAGGATCTGTATATGTAATACAATTAAGACATCTTCCGTTCTGCTACTTTTCAAGTCAAAAGTAGCAAATCATACAATATACTTGATTTCAGATTTTTATACTAAAACTTAAGTATTTAAAGGTAGATTCTTAATGGTCTACAACATTTTGTTTTTGTTCAAAAACAAGGATGTTAACTAGACTACTTTTTAAAAGTTTTTTTTAATGTTTCAGTTTTTACTTTTAGGGAAAGAAATCCCACATAAACATTCTTAAGTTTTTAGAGTGGGATGACTACCTTATTATAAAATTCTAAGTTTTCAAGAGAATTATTATTCATTGAGGGTTTGTGATGCTTTAAATTTTGATTCTGACCATACATAAAAAGAAATTAACCCTGCAGCTGTTTAGTTCATTCTGCACAAGAAACAGGTAAGTATTGTACCAGTTAATACCAAAATGTTTCTTCAAATTAATATTCTTTAGAAATGAGGGTAAAGTTTTTCTTAGAATTCTCTAATTCTGTAAATATTCTAGTATATTTAGTTATACAATCTTTATATAAATAATTCTCTACATCCATGGCTACCTGCTTTGGGAAGTAGTCACTTTTTCATGTTATTTATAAATATGCTGCCAGTAGCACTACAGTTTGCTGTGGAAGAGTGCTTCTTACAACCCAAGACTTCTGCTTTAAAGTCAAGTGAAATTTTTATCACAACTATAACTTATGATATTTAAATTTTATTTAAACAGTTTTATTATGGAGTAAACGTTAGAAAATACCTACAGTTCTGTACCTGGGGAGCCATTCTCCATGGGGTGTTATTTGTGGTCAGTTTATTGAGACTGTATTATTTTCTTCATTGTGCCTTTAGCATGTTCCCACAAAATTGAAATATCGATGTAATAAATATTCAGAAGTTATTTTCTTTTGTACTGTCACCAAACCAAGGAAGTGGGGGTATACACACTGGTTTAGGGATGTGCAGAGAACCCTTTTTATAATAGTAAACTTAGTTTTTGATTTTTTTAAGAAATGCTTCCTAAGATTGCTGTCAACTACTGTGTGCTCTTTATGAACGTTGCTGTATCCACTCTAGTTTTGGTAATGTCATTTCTTTTTTTTTTTTTT